ACCGGTTTTCTTATGGCATGACTAAAGACTTTACAAGTTCAAGACATCATGGCAAAACATCATAACCTCTTTTTTGAGTGTTTTGGTGATAATGAGCTCCCAAGAGTGCTTGCTATATGTTGTTTTATTTTCCCATCTCCTGTACAAAATTCTAGCTTTAAATTCCACACTTGAATGAGCACCTGTGATGGCTGTAAATTACACAGGTTATAAATCCCTCTCCTGCTACTTGGCTATTCCCATTGCCCACCCTCTGAGGTGGACTGCTGACAAATGGAGAAAAAGGTTGTTCAACCAAGAACTCCAGTTTTTACCACCTAGGCCAAGGAAAAGGGGATTTCCAGGACAACCAGCCACAAAACCAAACTAAAGGCCACAAGGGAACAGCAGGGTTCTCTGGATACCAACTTAATACCCAAACCTAGGCACAAATAAGCTTTATTGTAGCTTCAAATCTTACTTAAAACCAGCATCACCAAACTTTGCATGTGCAGCTACAAGTCCCTCTGTTTCCTGAGCTGACTTTGGGCCTTTCAGTAGATTTTTACGAGGCTCTGTCCTGACCAGTCAAATATTTATAACAACCCTCTCTATGGATACTTCCCCTCCCCAACAGAGCAGCAGTTAAGTGAGTTGCCGCACTCCTGTTTGATGTTGCAGCCAATACCCCATTGCTTTCTATCCTTCTAAGTCTCTTTTTCTAATAGCTTGAAGTGGTATAAACTGCATGGAAATACTCATTTCTCTAGCACAAGACCTCATACCTATATAAAGCAACCAGCTTCCCCCTCTTCCAGTAGCAGCTTTCCAACTTCTGTTCAAGAGCTGAAATGCAATATTTAAGCTCTGCCATAAATCTTCATGGAGTGTTTCTGGCCTTCTGCACAATCTGTCTAACTGTCTAGCAATTGGTCCATCGGCTATTTGTCTTGGAAGTCCTCACTGGAGATGTGAGAAACACAAAATGTCTGCAGATCCTCTGCCAATTTAGGTAGGTTCTTCTTCCTCTTGCCTTCTAGCATTTGGCTGTGTCCTGTCTAGCTCAGAGTGATATCTGGCTCCAATCTGCTTACGAAGGTACAGACCAAATCTTGATAAGCCAGGTTATGTCTATAGCACAGTGCTTCTCAGCTCTCAGCTATGGGTCCTTGCCACAGCTGTGCTCCTGACTCTACTCCAGGCAGAGGTCTGGGCATGCACCATCCCCAGGATGGCTGGGAAAGAACTGCACGGTGCTCCAGAAGGTCTCGCTGCCTCATGAACCATAGACCAGCACTGTGGTCCAGGCTGTAGTGCATATCCTGCCCCACGTTTGGCCTCAGGCTCTCCTCTGGGAACAAGCTCTGCAGAACAAGGCTCTGCCCAGTTCCTCTTTCCAGCTGGCTGCACAGTGGGAACGGACATGCATCAGCCTCCCGTGTGGTATTTCTTGAGTGGCTTCTCTGGGGCAGGAAAAACCTGGTGTTGTGGGTTTGTGCACAGACACTGGAAAGGACCAGTCTCATAGGTGACCCATCCCCACCTGGCAGACCCAACAGCCTGAGACCAGCTCCATGCCCAGCAGGCTGGTACCCCTGTGGTGTAATTTTTTAAATGCTTTTATTTTCTTTTGAAAACCTTGCTGTGGCTGAGGTCTCGTATTAAGTTTTGGGTTGAGCAATATATTCCTGTTTCCCCTGTTTTGTAAAACTTCTGGCCTGTGTCACACACATTCCTCAACACCTTGTAGAGTTATGGTCTTGCAGATGGGCCTTCAGGTCTCTCTGAACACTGTACCAGAACAGAGTCATTCTCTGATTGTTTTCAACCCTTTATGGAAAAATTCTCAATATTGCACTCTTTCCCTGGGCATAGTGTAAAACTTTGGTTTGTTTTGATTTAATTCTGGTGTGAATTTCTTTCACTTCCCACTGCTCCTGAATAGGTTACATACCTGCAAGTGCTTTTGTTATCTGATCTCTCTTGCATCAAAAGAACGAATAGTTCCCCATTTCCCCTCTTGGAAACAGCATCCTACCCTAAAAACCAATGTTACGGCTCCCAAGTGAAGAAGTCAGTCAATATCCAAAGCCCCGGGGGTACTGCTTCCACTACAGGGAAGAACTGATGTGACACAAGATATTTCTTTTAGGCAGCAGTGCTTGCACCTAGAGCCCACATGGGGAACAACAGCAATCAGATAGGAGTTATCCTGAGACCTTACAAATTTATTTTATTTCCCCCCGACATCAGTCTACCCAAAGCATTTGTTCTCTTCCTCAGTTTCCTCATTCCCCATTGATAGCACTTCTCTGATGGGCCTTGATGCTGTTGACTCCCTGCCCTTTGGTTTTGTAGGGTTTTCAGACTTCCACTGAATATAGGTGGCTGCTATCTTAAGTCCCACAGAGTTTGCAGCCGGGCTCAGCATACAGAGTGGAGTATGCTGGTGAATAAACCAGCTTACCTTTCAGCCTCCACCACCAGCTCACCCACTGCCTTGCAGCTAATGAACTCTGTTCTTGCCAATAAAGAATATATTTAGAAATACTACTGATTCAGCCATCTCTTTCCAATAAGCAGATGTGAAAAGAGTAACACTTAAACTGCATCTTCATTAAAAAAAAAATCATTTGATACAAACAGACTTAAATAGACATTTAATACTGAGTTGGGTAATGCAACTGTCTTCAGTCAGTGCAGATGAGACCATAGTTCATGATATACCAACTTGTCATGACTAACTCCTGCTGGGACCTGAAGGCAGCAGCTACAAAATACTGAATCATGGCTATTCTTAAGGGAGATATAAAGAGTTTGATACTGGTGGATTCATACTTAGATAGTTCATAAAATCTGTTGCAAACCACCTTCCATAATAATGCTGAGTCTGTCACTGTTTATTACCCATCTAAGATATCTCCTCTCCTTCTTTTTCTTCCCCTGCCTCTCCTCATTTGTCTCTCCTCCTTCCTCTCTACATTCATTTACCCTATTTCTCAGTGATTTCTCTTTGACCAAAATATGACCTTAGAGTTATCATGGTGATCACAATTGCTCTTTCACATTGTGTCTACTTATGTGACAGTCAAAATATGAAGATGATTTGCAAGCATGAATGAAAAATATGGCCAAGAAGATTCACCAGTAGGTATAATAACATTGAATCATCTGAACTTACACAGAAAATAAAGTGGAGGTAATTTATTTATTTATTATATGTAGGTGCTTTCCCCCTTTACTTACGAACTTTCCTCTACAAGCTGAGGTTGCTGAGACACTATGATAAATTGCTCTGACATTTTATTAATATGAAATATTTCCATCCATCTCTTAGTAAATGTTTCTCAAGTCACAGGGGTCCTATATCAGCTGCATTACCATTCAGGCTTCTCCTAATCCAGAACTATCTCTTCTTTCCATATGAAAATGTATCTACACAAAGATATTAGACCTGTGCTTTCCAACATGATTAACAATTGAGATGGGATTTTTTTCAGATGTGTAGGAGGAGTACCTCAGAAAAATATGACTTTTGGGGCAGTGATTGCTCAGCAATTTCTGAGAAGCACAACTCATATCTTGTGTTGGCCAATATAGATTCCCTACACTGATGAGTTGCTTTTTACAGATTAGACCATTAATTGGTGGATTGGCAGGTTGAGCCCATTTCACATGAGAAACCTGAGGATATGAGGACATTGCTTAGAGCTTTTTGTATTGAATGAGGATATGACTGTCAAGAAACCTAAGTTAAAGCCCCTCCAAAATCACACATGGGACTTCTACTCTGTGAGTTTCTGACTCCAGCAGCAGCTCCTTCTCAGGCGGCCGAGTGCCTCTTTCTGCCAGAGCCACGGCCCTGCGAAGGTCCCACAGATGCCACTGAGGTGCCACACCTTGCACAAGCCACTCGGGCATTCCAAGTGTCAGTTTTTCAAACTGTAAAATGAGAATAAAAGCTTCTTACTGCCCCGAGACATATTCACATTGTTTTACCTGAGAAATGCTAAGCCACAAAAATTCCCTGAACAAATAATGCAGCATCTTAAGGACTCCGGGGAGCAAAACTGGCTAAAGGGCCAGGAACTAGGTGAACATTAGGTCCATTAGGCGACCTAATGGACGGGTCTGGAGATGTCCTTTAGCAGCAGACCTTGGCTCTGAGCCTCTCTGACACCACGTCCCTCCTACTAGGGAAACTCACCATGGCTTTGAACGCAGGGCTTGGAAAACGAATAAATCCTCACGATCTGAGGGACTGAAGTCTGCACATTAGCTCCCCTTAAACCGTGGGTGCGTTTAACTTGGGAGGTTAGAAACCACAGCCAAAGAAATCTCTTTTGATTCACAACTTGTTTTGAGCAGTCACCCATAAAGCAGCCAGTGAATCACTCCAGCCAGTTAGTCATGCAACCACACTGCATGTACACTCAAAAGGCTGCACAAAATAAACAGCCTGCAGCTCCAGATAACACACACAGAGCTCATTTGCGCTATCTGGCATCAGCATATATTGTTAATAGGACTCCTACACCAAACCCTTAGGAAAAAAACGTACTCAAATAAGCATCTCCAAATCTCTCTCTCTCCATCAGTATTTTTCTCGTTTGCTTCGCTCTGTGTTGCTTTCAAAATAATTAAGACTAGTAAAAGTTTTAAGACTCTTTCTCTTTCTGCACCTTTTTGTTGCTGGTAACGTCCTGCTGGTTTTACAGGCGTGCGCTGCTGAAGTGTAGGGCTAAAGCGGAGTTAATTCCAATCAGCAGCGGACAAGTCGAAAATAAACAGCTCCAGCGCGAAAAGAAATCATCCTGCAAGGAGGGAGCGGCAGGGATACAGGGGGAGGGAGTCTCCCGGTCCTTTGACACATGAGTGTTATAAACAGCTCGGGTCAGGAATCCTGTAAAAGCTTCCAGCCAGATCTACCGTCCAATTCAAGAGAAGCGCAAAACACGTTTTGGAAAAAGCCGGGAATAAACCTTCCTGCGCGGCCCTAGGGGAAGGAACGTGAGCCCTACCTTCGCGTCTGGCTCCCTGAGGAAATGCCGCAGGTTTCCGCGGAGGAGATCCCGCGCCTCCGAGTGTCTGCTCAAACAGAGGCTTAGCCAAACTCCTGGCGAGAGCTCCCTCCCCTCCCTGGGAGGGTGCCGGAACCCTTGAATGGCAGATCTGGTGGCCCTATTGTGGAAAAGAGAGGGCTATTGCCAGGGCGGCGTCAGCAGCACGCCGGGAGCCGGCGGCCGAGCCTCGCCGGGCAGCCGGTCCCACAGCAGCGGGAGGGAAGGGC